ACGGTCCGCAAGGCGCCAGGTGTACTGGTGGACCGCCGAGATCGCGCAATTGCGCATAGCGTGCGTTGCGGCTCGTCGCCGGTACACCAGATACCGGAGGCGGCGTCGACGGGATTCCGCCGAGGAGGACGCGCTGTATGAGGTGTACCGCGCGTCTAAGGAGACTCTGTGGCTGGCCATCGGCGACTCAAAGTCGCGTGCCAGGGAAGAGCTGCTGGGGTCCCTAGATCGGGATCCGTGGGGGCGCCCCTACCGTTGGGTACGGAGCAAGTTGCGTCCCTGGGCGCCTCCACTAACACAAACGATGCAACCCCAGTTGCTAGAGGCGGTGGTATCGGCTCTCTTCCCTGAGCGAGTGGGACACGTTCCCCCGGCGATGGCTTCGCCCTCAGCCACAGACTCTCCAGAAGAGGAGAGCACCGATGTCCCCGAGGTGACGCAAGCAGAGACGAGAGCGGCCGTGTCGCGACTCCGTGTTAAGAACACAACGCCCGGACCCGACGGAGCTCCTGGTCGAGCTCTCGTCCTGGCTCTGAAGGAGCTAGAGCCCCAGCTGAGAGGGCTCTTCACGGCATGTCTCGAGCAGGGTCAGTTTCCCAGTGTGTGGAAGGAGGGGAGGCTAGTCCTGCTCTGGAAGGAAGGGCGCCCCGCGGACTCACCGTCCGCGTACCGACCCATAGTGCTGCTCGACGAGGCGGGCAAACTTCTTGAGCGTATCATCGCAGATCGCCTCGTCGGCCACTTGTGCAGAGAGGGGCCGGACCTGAACGAGAACCAGTTTGGTTTTCGTCGCGGGCGCTCCACCATAGACGCTATTACGCGCGTGAGGGCCCTGGCGGAGGAGACAATATCCCGGGGTGGGGTGGTGCTGGCGGTATCTTTAGACATCTCCAACGCCTTCAACACTATACCCTGGAGTTGTATTCGGGAGGCACTGAATTACCATCGCGTGCCTCCCTACCTCCGCCGCGTAATAGGGGCTTACCTTGAGGAGAGATGCGTTACCTATTGGAGACGTGACGGCGCTGGTCGGCGCGTCATGTCGTGCGGTGTTCCGCAGGGATCGGTCTTGGGATTTCCTACGAGGCGGCTTGCATCCTGGCCGGATCCCCGCCCTGGGACCTAGAGGCGAAAGTACTCGCGTCATTATATCGATGGCGCGAGGAAGAGCGGGCACGGGGCTCGAGGCCGGTGCAGCGGCAGATCGAGCTGCGCCGAGAGGAGCTCCGTCAGGTCTTAGTGGCGGAATGGCGACAAAGACTTCTGCGCCCTACCGCCGGCCTCGCTACCGTCGAGGCGATCCGGCCAGTACTCGACGACTGGCTCGGAAGGCACGGCTCCCTGTCGTTTAGGGTGACGCAAGTGCTGTCGGGGCATGGCTGCTTCGGCAAGTACCTGCGCCGCATAGGCAGGGAGCCGGACGCTCGGTGCCACTACTGCGTCCATTGCGGGGAGGACACGGCGCAACACACGCTCGCCGAGTGTGTAGGTTGGGAGGAGCAGCGCCGTGTCCTCACAAATAAAGTAGGAGGCGATCTGTCGCTGCCGGCCTTAGTGCGGAAGATGGTCGGTAGCGCAGAGTCATGGGATGCGGTGGTATCCTTCTGCGAGGACGTGATGTCGCAGAAGGAAACTGCGGAACGGGAAAGGGAGATCTCGACTCCCTTCCCTGGCCGCAGAAGGCACACCGGGCGCAGGAGAAGGGCGGACAACGCCCTTTTCCGGCCCCCATGAATGGGTCCAGGGGCGAGGGACTTGGGGAAGCCCCCGCCACCCCTACTCGATGGAACCGAGGCGGAGGCACGCGCGGGTGTCGGCGCGCGCCCCTGAGGCGATACACGGGGTAGTTGAACACCTCACTACCCCGTGCAGGAGACGAGGCCCGGACAAACCGAGCCAGCACTAGTGTGGGGCTGCGGAAGAATTTGGATTCCCGCGGCCCCACGCGCACGTGTGAGGAGACACCGGGGTGATTTTAGCCGGTAAGAGTCCGGCACGCCCCTCCGCCTTTCCCCAGGCGGAGGTGGTCCATGAGGATTTCCCCCCGTAAAAAAAAGGTAAGTTCCACTTGCTATGTAACGAGAACGGTAGGTTAGATTAGATTGATTCATCAGATGCCTGCCTGCAAGGTGGTACATGGGACTACTTGCACAACAGGTACATCCTGTACATGGGACGACATTGTAGGAAGTACAAACGTGGGGTTCCACAATACTCGTTGCTGAGTTCGCTACTGTAGAATCTCGCCTATCAAGCGGTTCTCAACGAACCTACCTTGCTGCTGGCATAGATATTGTTTGCTACGCCGACTACACGTTGGTAGTCGTCAGCGGCATCACCTACGAGAGGACCAAGGACCTCGCTAAAATTCATGAGTTTGGATTAGAAATAGCGCCTCACAAGACCGAGGCCCTATGGTTCCATAAATTATGACGGGGCAAAAGAATCCAACTTGTGCGCTGGTCTGAAGTTAGAGTGGGACGGTACATGAAGTGGGCTAGGGGGGGGGGGGGGGGGCTCGCCTGGTCTCCCGGATCGAGGGTGTTATGCATAGACTGCTACCCAATTTAGGGTAATACGGTTCGTAGCCTTGTATGAGGCACCTGTACCGGCGAAAGGGCTGGCCATTCAACGCTGCAGAACTAAAATCTCCAATGTGCAGCGGATGATGGCCATACGGATCGTGCAGGTATACCGTATAAAATCTAGCATACTTTCCACCATTAAACATTCTGGCAGACATGGACACAAGGGTACACGATCTGATCCGCGTCCTCTGCCAGAACGACAGGAATGAGCCAGATGATGCATTCCCGGGGGTTAAGTAGCAGAAACAACTTGACGCATTCGCAACTTGGCGTGCTCGTCTCTCTGACGAGCGTTATGCGCACGCAAGACTCACTTACGGACTGAAATAAAAAATTGCCAACCACGTATGCTTCGGATAATCATATCTATATAAGATCAGACGTGAAACGGCGGGAAATTGCTTCCACTGCGGTGGACGAAACCAGTACTCTGCGTCCCATACGCTCGCCTTTATGTCCAACGTGGGAAAGAGAGCGGATGATCCTGGTAAACCGGATCGGATGGAAACTCTCCCTGCCACCGGCCTTGTACAAGCGGGGACTCGGCTTAGAGGGTTAACGAAAACGAACGCCTAGTGATCCAAACCTCGAGAAAGACGATGACTTGGATGTAATCCAGAGGTATCGCGATAACTTTACTAGGGTGCTGGGGACAACAAATACGGCCCCCGAAATGTGCTTCCAATAAAACGAGGCGAGATGAGCACCAGTTGCATTCCAAACAGAGATCCCGGGACCTAGCTTCAACGCCTCCTGGAATGAACTTCTAAAGGGACTCAACAAGAATCCCTAGGGGAGTCCATCCATACAGGATGGCGCAAGAGGTAAGTGCTCCTGCCTTAGTCACCCTCCTTGACTGAGAAAGTTCGTAATACTTGCATAGATACGAGTTTGAATATTTTTATCGGTTCATACAAAATAAGTCTTATTTTTCTCAAAAAAAAACTTTCTGAAATGTAAGGATCTATATTTTGTTATGATGTAATTTTGCTTTGGAATGTTATTATCAAAAATGATAATCTATGCATTACCCGCATAATTTTTTCTTACTATCATATTTATTTTCGACCACGGTAAAGCATAAAATCAAATTACTACCACTACTCTAAAATACCTACAAATAGTAATATTTTGCCTCTTTTTTATTACAGGAACACCAAAAAAATGGCAAAATCTGAAAGATTATTTTGCAAACGAACTTGCAATTCAGAATAAGGGTAAATCTGGACAAGAATATAAAAAAGAAGGCCGTATGTTCACTTTCAAGCCCTTTCGTTTTTAGTTTCTGACCCATTGGAGAAACTACCTCAAACATATCAGTGGATGATTCTGAAGAAGACAGTTAGTCGAACGAAAAAGACGACCAAAATTAAGTCGCAAAAGTCGAAATTTTAAGTATATTGAGCATTGCCAAACGTTACCATCCACCGGAGTTCCAGTCCTCAAACCCAATATCGTTCAGCTTCAGAAACTAATCGTTACGAGCTCCCATACACTAAAAAAACTCATGCCGAAGAATGTCATCTGTTGTGTCTAATTATAATCTTTCAACGCCATCATCGGAGTCACCGGCTCCGGCTTATGTTATATCTCCAATTCCTAGCCCCAATTATGCCTCATCTCAGGCTTCTCCACAGCAAGCTCAAGCTTCAACTTCAAGGAATCAAACAATAGGTTCAAACATGGTGTCTATTGAAATGAATCAAGGGTATTTTTGTAATGACCCCAATAATTATGCAACGCTACTATATGACGGCAAAGATATGTAAATGGAAAATAATACGCAACGGAATCCAGCCAACATAAGAGTATCTGAACATGCTGACGCCAACATAACATATTCCGCTGATACCGCATCTCCTGCCGTATGACGAGGGAATGGCATTCAAATTAAAGTTTTTTTTAATCTTCAAGCGTCTCCATTTGCTCAATAAATTCTTTTTATATTGCCATAAGTAAGAAGTGGTGATATTCCTATGATTGACCCGGTGGAAAATAATGTAAAAGTATACAAAAGCAAACTTAAACGGAAGTAGTCAAACGGCTAAACCCCAGACTGTTACTACTCCATTAAATAATTTACCGGAAGTTGTCAAAGCTCTGGAAGAAATTGAAGATTCTTCTCTAGTCGCAGAATCTAAGTATGAAGCTAGTCATTTATTACATGCGGTGATGAATTTTAAATTTATCGTCAACTTAACAATTTGGGATAATATTCTTCGAGAGGTTGATAGAGTCAACGTTCAAATACATAAAGAGGTATTACCATTTCGCGTTCTGTGGCGATAATGCAAGATGTTAACTTGCCGTTTTTAAGGAGCTAGTACTCGTAAATCGAAATTAATGAAAAATCAAGTGCATTCGACCTGTTACAACATCTGTGCAATCATAACTTGCTAGAAGCGTTTCCTAATGGTTAGTATGGATTTAAGAATATACTGCACATTACCTACGACATCTGCAAGCTGTGAGCGGGGCTTCAGCAAACTTAAAATGATTAAAACCTATCTGCGTTCAACAATGATTCAGGAACGTCTATCTGACCTCGCGATCAGAGCCATTGAAAATAAAACTGCTTTTGAGACAGACTTTGGTGAGCTAATAGATTCTTCCGCAGAAAAGAAAGCACGCCGCGTAAAGCTGTGACTAGATTAGAGAAAAAAAACATGCTGAGATCTAAAGATCCTAAATATCTTGATTGCCTGCTGCCTTTTCTGGATATATGTTTTCTATATATAGTTTCTATATATAACCGATGGGGAAGAAAGGTTCTCGAGTGGCAGCCTCGTACCGGCAGGCGAAGTGTAGGGCGTCCCCCCACTAGATGGAGTGACGACCTGGTAAGATATGCAGGAAGTCGATGGATGCAGGTGGCTCAGGACCGTGATTTGTGGCATTCTTTGAGGGAGGCCTATGTTCAGCAGTGGACTTGTGAAGGGCTGTAATGATGATATATAGTTTTACGTCACACAAATGAAAAATAGTTTAGTGTATGTATAGAAACAGAAACAGAAACAGAAACTTTTTTATTCAATATAGATTATAAATAATACTTATTGAAAGTCACTCTTTTTGTTTGATTACCACTGGTTCGGAAAAAACCTCTGTCCTGGGAAGAACCAGCAAAAAACCCAGCGGGACTTTTTTTTAAAATAACAGCTTACAATCATGATGTTACACAAATTAACAACACAACAAATTAGAAATAGCTTGGTAGCGATCACCTCATTTCCAGGGGTTATTATCATCCATAAATTCCTTAATATTATAATAACCCTTTTTATACAAACTTACTTTAATAAAGTTTTTGAACTTTGAACAGGTCAAACTTTGTATATTTTCTGGAATTTTGTTGTAAAAGCGTATACATCGCCCCAAGAATGAATTACTGACTCGATGGAGTCGAGTAACTGGTACTACTAGCTTGTGTCTGTTCCTAGTATTTACAGAATGAATATCACTTATTTTTGTAAAACTACTTTTATTTTTGTGTACGTACATTACATTTTCATAAATGTATTGAGAGGCCAAAGTTAATATATTAATTTCCTTAAATTTTTGTCGCAGCGACTCTTTAGGCGTTAAATCATAAATTGCTCTTATGGCCCTCTTCTGCAAAACAAATATAATTTCAGTGTCAGCTGCGTGTCCCCATAGCAAAATACCATACGACATTATGCTATGGAAGTAGCTGAAGTAAACTAGTCTAGCTGTTTCAACACTGGTTAGACTTCTAATCTTTTTTACAGCATATGCTGCAGAACTAAGTCTGCTTGCTAGTTTTGATATATGGGGGCTCCATTGAAGCTTCGCGTCTAGTGTGATTCCAAGAAAAATGGTGGTATCTACAAGACTCAGTTTCTCCCCATTTAAAATTACATTAGTATTTAATTGTTTGACATTTGGAGTCACGAATTTCATACATTTTGTTTTAGTGCTATTTAAATGCAAATTATTAACATCGAACCAATTTACTAATTTAGATATAGCACTATTTACTTCGCCATATTTTAGTAACTGTCGACTTAATTTGAAAATTAAAGAAGTGTCATCTGCAAATAATACTATATCATGGTTATCCCCTACTATGTAAGTGTAACGAACCCCCCCCCCCCATCTTTTTTCTTTTCTACTATATCCCACTTATACTTGTATTTCTTTAGAATCTATATCTGTAAGATATATAAATACATCTAATTTACGTGACCAGTATAACTTGATCTTTCAAAAGGTTTAAATATAGGCCGTTAATAAATTTATGGCGTGATCGTCTTAGTTAGGACCCTTTTTTACGTTGTGTTTGTATAGTAACTTAGTTCTTTTAGGTGTATCTTGGAAGAATGAATATTCACGAGAGCAATCGAAAGCTGTTGGTAGAGTCTTATAAGCTAGAGAACCCCGTTCACGAAGACAGAGCTCAAAAAGGTTAAGAACAATAAATTGTCCCTATTCCACTTGTATCTGGTTCACAACAGTCAATTCCTTATTAATTAATCCCTTCCCGCATGGAAAAGGCTCACAATATTTATATCAAATACCAGTTACAAGGGCTTCGCTCTCCCACATTTTAAAAAAAATGTGGAGGAGGTACACGGCCCCACACACGCCGCGCACGGTGAGCGCCAACCATTTTAATGCGCTCCCCCCGCAGGGTACGCAAAGTTGGGAACTGGACCGTAGTCCACAGCAAAATAACTGGCGAACCAGTAAAAGAGGACTTGGCCCCTTGATAGTGCGTAAGCACAAACATCGACCGAAGTCGCGCATGTCAATGCGTGTAAACGCCATACAGAATACGATCAAATCCAGCCACAGTGAAATGTACGTCACACGGGTTAGGCAACAATCGGCACACTGATCATAAAAAGCCCTCCGTGAGCGCCACCACCTGCCAGACCGCCGTTTCTGCAGACGTGATGTAAGTGTAAGGCATCACCACCAATTGCATGGTCAGCACGGCCAATTGGCCGCAGAGCGTGTCATGAGTCTACCGCTCACCTCAAGGGAATGGGGTCCCACGTTGCGCGGCTTTCGGCCGCAGCCTTGAGAGCCTCCTCAGATTCTCCCTCCAGCTACCACCCGCATGAGGTCAACACATATGCTCCACCAACCAATACAATGGCAGATATAGCCAATAGGCAGTTATAAGATAATATTAATAATTCGCCATCAGAACGGGTTTGTGTCACTGACGTTGAGTATATGCATTTTTCGATCATGTTTGTCTCACCCACCAACAAGTTGCCTTCAATCTCTCAAAGGTGGGAACTTTATAGAGATATATTATTAAGTTGTTATATAAAACATCATGGAGGGCAGACAGTCTGCAGCCCCGCAATGAAGGGACCCGACTTGGGCAAAGCTACTTAGGTTGTGAGTCAAACCAAGACGCAGAGAGCGCCATTGAGAATAGCGACCCGCCAAACAACCATCGTAGAGACGCAATGCTACAGAATGCAACAAGCATCAATACGACTATCGTCGGGCTTACACCATCCCAAGGTCCCCCATACAGACCCAGCAGACATCACCACCCGCATACCTCCATCGACCAGAACCACAAAATGCATCGAATCAGGTGCAGCACACCCGCAGATCCATCACAAGACACAATACTGCAAGTAGCAGTAAGCATCAATGCAACTATCATACGGATGGCGCCCCCTCACAACACACCCACATGATCCCTATCGACTTTGGTAACAAAATTTGATAATGTTGTTAACTAAAAATACCACCAACGTATCATAGTAGTACGGTACTAAGACGTCAGTAGCCAAAACTCCACGTATCATAGCGCTATTGCACTAAGACATGAAGTTGAGTATGCTTGATGCACTTAAAAGTACTACCAAACACACTCACCCTAATCCGAAAGATAGCCGACGTATCATAACGCTATGCGCTAAGACGCCGCCCTCAACCGGTAGGGGTGTGCGATGTCCACGGGCAAGTCGTATTGCTACAACAAACCCGCTTACCACCGGCACTAAGATGATATGTCTAGGACACATCGGTTAGTGAGTCCAAGTTTACCTCGGTCTCAGAGGCTGCGAAGCAACCTACACGCCACTATAATAATCCTTTTCAAGTCCCATTTCTTTCAATATAATGCTTTTACATATTTGAGACCTTCCACATATTTGCTTTATTTCATAGACCATACTACTGTATGTCTTATTCATATGGGACTTCAAGTCATAACTCTGCTATCATAATGCTTATGCATCATAGAGACCTTCTATATTAATGCTTTGGTTCGTCAGACCTTACTATGTTAAGTCCCTAATATAGGACTAGTCATTGTGCAACCTTAGTACTAGCAGTCGGTCAGCCGACCACCCCATATATATGTACAACCTTGGGTATGTGTCTCCGACAACGCCCCAATATAAGGGAACATTACAAGAACACGTTCATTAACTTAGAAATTTTCCAATTATTACACGAACACCTTCATCAACTTAGAAAAATTTTAATCCATTTTTTCTATTATATTACAAATGTTATTTATCTTTGTTATTGCAATATAATCGCCTTGTATTTATATGATTTGATACATATTGAACATTTTAAGCAGGTTTTTAATAAATTTAGAGATTTTTAGAGACATTTTATGCGTTTACTAATATATATAATATTCAATATTCCAAATGGATATTTTTGAACTCTATGCTTATTATTTGCATTTTATTGTTTAAATTATAATTTCTATGACAATTTTAAATGTCTGTATAATGAATTTAATTATTATTTATTAATAATAATTATGAGGCGTCACAATCCACCCCCAAATTTTATGTTAATGATCCACATAGTGGAGTCGTTAATATAAAATTTAATATTTTGAGAGCATATACACTACACTCAAATAATTATTTATATATCTGTTCTTTCTTCTTTTAATCTGTTACAATACGGCATATGTTATCAAATCCCCCTACCCCAGAGAATGGCCGCCACCAACACCCCTTCAACCACAATTATCACAATGTGATAACACCATAATTCAAGTTATTGTATATCGTGTTGTTAATAAAGTTTGCAGTCAATTGTCGATTTCTTATTTTATTAATTTATCTTTAAATCTTTGAAACATTATTTCGATAGTGTCACACTTTATGTGCATACAATCCAGTTGGATATTTGTTGAGGTCAGTTCGATACCACATAGGATAAATGTGTTTGAGCCATTCGCCCTGACCCAACTCCCATATTTATTTAATAAAAATGATTAAAAAATTATCTTACGATCTATATTTACAACTCTTCATTATATATTAATAACGTTCTACTATCATATAACAAATCTCTTGCTCATAACTTTAATGATTTTAGACCTTTAACTTAAACAATTATTTCCATGGGCCACCCACAAAACCCTTTTATGTTACAATATTTATTTAATTATTTTAATTTATACAAAAAGAAATTATTATTTAAAATATTTTAATAAGTGAATAGCATTAAAAATTCCTCTAATTTCGTTTGTCTCTGGATTTGCTAAGGTATATACATTGTCAAATGGTACGGCTGCTATTACATAAGGCCCTTCATATGCCAAATTGAACTTACTCATAACTTTATTATCAGCGTCTGATCTACTAGATCTTGAAATTTTTACTAAGTCACCAATATTATATTTT